AACCCCAAACTGAGAACCACAGTCGTGGCTGAGCAGTCACTGCCCACTTGTGCCAAGACCCCACCTGGATGTTGGGACCCCACCAACGCCTGGGGTGCCTGTGGCCTGAGGACGGCATGTCCCAAGTCATGAGGCCAGGACACCGGGGCCCATTCAGTCAGAGGGTCTCAGTTCCCCAGGGCCGGCCCTTTCCTGGCTCCTTCCAGTTTGATCCTGTCGGGACCCTGGAGCCCAGGACCCAGCATCCAAGGGGCATCCCGGCAGCTCCACTAACTTCATGTTATTTGACAGAGAAGACGTCAGGAGATGAGAGAGAGAGAAAAATGGCTCCAGGTGCTTCTTGACTGGCAGTGATATAGGAGTGGCAAGGAGGTGACATGGGGAGGGAAGGGCCCCGTGACCACTTTCTACAGAGTCAGGGGGACGGGCTCCCAGGGCTGTGTCCTGGCACTGCCGGCCTCTCAGAGGATGGACACCACACTGGGACACCAGCTTTCCTGTTCTTCCCTGCAAACCTCATCTTGCCAGGAGAGAGTCTGATGCCAGGGCCTGGGTCAGTCCTAGCTCAGGGGTAGGGACACTCACTGGTGACCTGAAGGAAGGAACAGGTCAAGATCAGAGTTCATGACCAGGCGTAGTAGCTCACGCTTGTAATCCCAGCACTTTGGGAGGCCAAGACGGGCGGATCCCCCGAGGTCAGGAGTTCGAGACCAGCCTGGCCAACATGGTGAAACCCTGTCTATACTAAAAATACAAAACTAAGCCGGCTGTGGTAGCAGGCTCCTGTAATCCCAGCTACTCAAAAGACTGAGGTAGAAGACCCGCTTAAACTCAGGAGGCGGAGGTTGCAGTGAGCCGAGATCGTGCCACCACACTCCAGCCTGGGTGAAAAGTGAGACTTGATCTCAAAAAAATAAATAAATAAAAATAAAAAGATCAGAGTTCATGACCCTGAGTGCTTCTTCATTCTTTGAATCATGGGAGGAGAGACCCAGTCCTAGGTAGACCCCACCTCTCCCGAGGAACTGAGGAGCCAAGGGCTGGAGATATCCGGAATCCTCAGGGTCCTGTCCTCCCCAGTGTCACCCCATGTCTCACTGGAGCGTTCCTCTGTCCATAGCTGTCTGTTGGGGTCTACAAGAGAATCCGTCTGCAGATGTGGGGCCAGATGTGGTCACTCTTGCTGAATGTCGAGAAAGTGAAGGCTGAGAACCTGGGAAAATGCCAGGTACCACACTTCCACACTCAGCCAGAGCCGGACAAACAGGCCAGGCCATGTCGGGAGCCCAGGCCTCCAGATGGAGGATCAGATGCACGTCCTGGGCACAGACGGTGACGCCGGCACCACAGGTGAGCTGGGCTCCAGCGACCCTCCTGGTGACCCCTTTGGCTTGTTGGAAAACAGGCCAAAGAAGGAGCTTTCTGCAGAAGGAAGCCTGCCTTCCCGCCTGCCTGCCTGCCTTCCTTTCTTCCTTCCTTCCTTTCAGAAGCATGGACTGTGGATGACGGCCGTGTGGGGCAGCGAGTCTTCAGTCTGTCTGGAGGCTGCTTCCTCCTCTTGACCCTGCCCTGCAGGTCATGAAGAACAAGGGCAAGAGGTCCCCTGGGAACTTCCACCAGATGTGGAGGTTGGAGGGTCCCTGGGAAGATGGGGTTATCCGGAGGGATGGGGGCTTCCCCAGAGCAGAGGCAGGAGTCACCCTGGAAGAGTGACAGACTGGCCAAGCGCTCTCCTGGCCCAGGAGGCATGCAGCACTGTGGACTCAGTGCCTCTTGGGCTCCAAGCCCTGTGCCTGGCTGTGACACATGGGGCCAGAATCCAGGCGGCTCCCAAGGAGATGGACAGCAGCAAACAAAATCATGCGGAATGGTGGAAAGTGCTCTGTGTGCCTCTGGGGACCAGGGTAGGGACCCACAAGAGGGCGGCAGGATGAGGGGGCTCAGGAGCCTTCCCAAGCAACACTGGCAACACCGAACACCGGGAGGATGTGGAGCCCCGGGGCCCCTCGTCCCTGCCAGGTGGGAATGGGACAGGGCACAGCCACTTTGGAAGCCCGTTGGGCGGCTGCTCATGAAGCTCAGTGGACTCGTGCCACACATCCCAGAAGAGTCTCGGAGATTAACCCCAGTGATTTGAAAACTGACGTCCACGTAAAACCCGCGTGCCACGTTCACGGCTTGATTCATCATCACTCGTAGCCGGAGGCCACCAAGAAAACCTTCGACGTGGGATTAGGGGAGGAAGGGGGCATCCGCCCTTCGAAGAAAACACCACTCAGTGAGAAAAGGGAGCAAAACCCTGACCCCCGTAGCAATGTGGGTGAATCTTAGATGCATTTCGCTGAGGGAAAGAAGCCAGGCCTCACAGTCGACCACTGTAGGATTCCAACTCACGGGCCATTCTGGAAAAGGCTAAACCATAGGGATGGATAACAGATCAGGATGGCCAAGGGCTGATGGAGTGGGAGAGATCGGCTGCAGAGGGGACACCCTGGGGACTTGGAGGACGAAGGAGCTGCTCTGGGAGGTGCTGGAGTGGTGGGTGGGACACTCGGCACCCTGGTTCAGAAACGTGGGACTGCGTATCCCAAAGACTGAGCTTTCACTCTGTGCTAAAAAGGGGAGAAAAATAATCAACCAGAGTGATTGCACACCTGAGATATTTGCATTTCACTGAAAGAGGATTTGACCCAGAAATTTCCCAAAATAATCAGATGCCCTGAAAAGGTCACTGCTTATTCGGCGGATCATCTCAACCTTGAGTTGGATTTGTCATCGGGGCTTGTAGACAAAATGAAACAGCATCCGCCTGAAGCAAAACGATCTTTTCTCTCTTTCCTAAGCAGCAGGATTTCTTTCAGGTCCCGGTGGCATATTCTGCATCTAACCCCGTGAGTATTCCCAGGCAACGAGATTCCCGGGCCACACTCCCATATTCACAGGCATAGGCGTCTCGGGTGGGGCGTGTCATTGCTTCTTTAAAATTCAGCATTTGCGGCCGGGCGCGGTGACTCATGCCTGTAATCCCAGTACTTTGAGAGGCCGAGGCAGGCAGATCACCTGAGGTCAGAAGTTCGAGGCCAGACTGGCCACCATGGTGAAACCCCATCTCTACTAAAAATACAAAAATTAGCTGGGCGTAGTGGTGTGCACCTGTATTCCCAGCTACTCGGGAGGCTGAGGCAGGAGAATTGCTTGAACCCGGAGGCAGAGATTGCAGTTAGCCAAGATCACGCCACTGCAATCCAGCCTGGGCGACAGAGCAAGACTCTGTCTCAAAAAAAAAAAAAAAAAAACTCAGCATTTGCGACCCACCAAGACACAGTAGTTGGGACTCAAGCTCGCTACTGGCTTGGACATCCAAGCAGGAGGAGAAGGGTCTCAAAGGTGTCAAAGTAAGATGGAAAGAGGTCAAGGCCCAGACCCCTGGTCTGACCTGAGCCTGACCACCATTTCACAGAGCAAGTAATGACGCCCTCCTCCCAGACTTGCCCCAAACCCCCCCAGAGCTTGGTGGTGTCCCCGGACGGTCGTCCCAGGAAACATTTTGAACAAGTTGCTGAAGTGCCTGATGGACGCGGCTCTTGTCATGAAATGAGTTTGGATCCGAGAAGCCCTCTTCTCATCAAAAAATGAGCCGGGGCCCAATTTCCCCTCCACCTGAACCCCGTCAGAGCCCTTCCAGGCGGCGGACGGCTCCGCGTGTTAGGAGGGTCTCTGATTTCGAGATGGGTCGGGGGCTTCTCAGGATTCTGCAGCCCAAATTGTGCCAGGCCGCGAGGAGCACATGTTATGAACGTCATTCCCAAAGATCCTCGGCACTTGGTGAACGGACAGTCCCCTCGGCTCCTTCCCAGAGGCCCTGGGTCCCATGGGCCAGGGGTAGAGGGGCGGTTCGAGCCCCTGGTGGGGCTGGCAAGAGGCTGAGTCCCAGCCAGGGACATGGAGCTCTCCATGGCTCCGGAACTGAGTTTCCTTCTCCTGCCCTGGAGCAGGCAGACGCACTCTACCCGGGCCGAGCTTCGGCTGAGCAGGGCTAAGGGAAGTGTGTCCTGGGGGTCCGTGCAGGGGGCAGGTGTCAGGGGTGCCCCAGCCACCACCTGGTATTCTGTCTCTCAGGGAAGGGTCTGCAGAGGGGCCTGGAATAGGGAGGTTTGGGGGCAGGCCCAGGGGCCCCAAGGACCTCTGTTGCTCCCATTAGGACAAGGATGAGCTGTGTACCCAGAATTCCATGTTTACGCTGACTCCTCCAGTGCCTCATCAATGAAGTAAGCAGGTACATTCATACATCAATGAAGTAAGCAGGGAGCCCCCAGCCCAGGGACCCTCCTGCCCCACACTGCCTGGATCCCCCAGCCCAGGGATCTGGCTCCCCAGGAGGAACGGGCTCACCCCGACCTGGCAGGAGGCACAGGCATGTCCCTGCAGGGCACGCAGGCCAAGCAATGCCCAGAGGGAGCATCTCACAGCAGAGGCCGGGGGCTCAGCCCAGCCTCATGGGCAGACAGGGCCGGGACTCAACTTGGGAGAGCCCAGGGAAGCCCCAAGCCCGTGGGGAGCCTCTCCTTCCAGGAGCCACATCCCCACTGAAATGAGACTCCCACATGAGAAGCTACAGGACCTCTTCTGATTCAGCCTCACAGGGGAGTGGGGTGGGGGATCTCATCCCATGGGGAGGGGTCCCTGGTGCTCCAGGGCACTGAAACCCCAGTGGGCCCTGCCCAAGCCACCAGCCCCCAGCTAAGAAGGGCCAGGTCCTCCCACACCTGTTGTCCCCAAAGACTCCCTTTGGGTTTGCCAGGCAGCTACGTTCTGGAGGGCTAGCGTGTCCTCACGGCACACAACTTCCAAAGTTGACAGAGTCAAGTCCTGGCGTGCCCAAGGCTATCCAGGGGAATACGCGGGACAGACAGAACCCTCAGACCGTCCCCATGACCCTCTGCTCCAGTCTGAGGGACAGGACACCATGAGACCTCTCAGACACAGAGCCCACCCTCGACATGACCCGGATGAAAGGCAGTAGTGTGGTGAGCCCCTCCCTGCCCGCGCCTCCCCCTGGCCGTGGCCTCCTATGCACAGCTGGACCCCGGGGGTGGCCTGAAAAGGACCCAGCACTGCCCAGTGGGAGGGGGCCATGGTGGAAACAGCGTGTGAACACCAACCTCTCCCAGGGACCCCTCCCGGCCTGATGCCCACCCTGCCCCTAAAGCATCTCATGAAGCTGTCCCAGTCCACCCTCAGGGAGCTCACCCAGGACCAGTTCTTCTGGGCCTGGGCCCTGGAGGATGCCATGGCGTTCAGGTGCCTTCATGTCTCCATGGGGTTACGGATGAGGAGGTGGTGGGTCCTGCTACCTCCAGGTGGGCCCCAGTAGCAGGTCCCCTCCCAAGTCACCCTCTGGGGCAGTCAATCGTGGAGAGGGCCTGGGCCCCGACAGCCTCACTACCTGGGCCTTCCTCTCGCACTTCTGGAGGCCTCTGGAGGCCAGGCAGGGTGGTTCACGCCCGTAATCCCAACACTTTGGGAGGCCGAGATGGGGGGATCACTTGAGGTCAGGAGTTCGAGACCAGCCTGGCCAACATGGTAAAACCCCATCTCTACTAAATATACAAAAAAAAATTAGCTGGACATGGTGGCGGGCACCTGCTATCCAAGCTACTTGGAAGGCTGAGGCAGGAGAATCTCTTGAACCCGGGAGGCGGAGGTTGCAGTGAGCCGAGATCACACCATTGCACCCCAGTCTGGGCAACAAGAGTGAAACTCCGTCCAAAAAAAAAAAAAAAGAAGCTTCTGGAAATGAGCCCGCAGGTCCTCAGGGCAGGTGCTGAGCACGTGTGTGCTGGACGTGCTGCAGATCAGGCGGGGGGACCAGGGGAAAGACTCTTCCGAGCCCCACCATTGCCACCTTCCACAGTGTCCTGCTTTGCCCTCGAAGGTCCCTGCAGAGGACCCATCTGTGCGAGCCCACAGCCCGACCTGCAGCATCCACAGCCTCAGAGAGCAGCAGGGGCTGCTTACCCCTGAACCCCCACCAAGAGCATCAGGACAACAAACCTTGAGCCTTGGAGACAAGAGAATCAGTATGCCTGGCCCAGGAAGGATTCGAGGAGAGGACACGCGCAACAGCCCTGGCCCAGAGCCAGAACCAAGCGTCCAGCCAGGTGTGGAAATGGTCCAGTCCTGGCATGGAGTGGATGGCCCCGGAGGGCAGAGGGGACCCCATGCCTGGGGCCATCCATCTCACCCACTGTAGAGACAGGCCCCCGAGTGAGGTGGCAAGGGGGCCAGGTGACAGCAAAGGCCCCTCCCATCTAAGTTCTGAATCAGGGCTGCATCCCAGCCAGCACAGCCCTGGGGTGAGAGAGAGAGGCAGGAAGCCTTGAGCCAGCCCAAACCCTCGGGGGCCGGCCTAGGAGCAACCTGAGGTGCCCCGACGGCTCCCCCGCCACAGCCCACACACAACTGTCACTCCAGGATCAGATACCTGCAGGAGTGTCTGCAGCATCAGACTCAAGGAGCCACACAGGGACCCTAGGGACTCCAAAGACCCAGGTCCGGGGGAGCCCGGCCCTGTGAGGACCTAATGGGCTCGGTGGAGAAGCGGACCACACATGTCTGCTTTCCTTTCGGCGAAACTGGAGCTAGAGTCCCTGATACCCAGGCCTCTGCAAGCATCTCCCAACATCAAGTCCTTCTGCAAGGGAGATGGGCTGGCCTACCCCAGGCTGTCCAGCTCCAGCAGGCTTGCAGGCGGCCCCTCCAGAACAAAAGCCTGGTCCTCCGCCACCCTGCCCCCATCCCCCAGGCTGTCCCTGAGCCCGAGGCCCAGAGACACAAGAGGACATCTGTAGAGCCCAAGGGAGCAGACTGTTCTCTTGGGACCCCGGGGGGATCAGGGTGTAGCCAGGCTGTCCCCAACTCAGGACAGACCATGGGCTGCCCCAGGGTACCTCCTCTGGAACTTCCTGCCCAAGCTTCGCCATGGACCTGGACGTCAGGGGCCTGTGGTTCAACTCTGAATAGGGATTCTGGACCTTGCGCGGGTGCCCAAGACAACCCCAGAATCGTGGGTGGGACCCAGTGGGACACGCCCAGCAAGCCCATCAGGGCCCTGAAACCCGGCCTTGCTGGGCACTGTGATAATAACCAAGAGGCAAGTCCAGAGACATCCACTTTGCCCAATGGCACCTGCATCCGTCTTCTCAGTAGACAGTGACTGGCATGGTGTGGGGGCAGCCAGGGCAGCACCTGGCCAGCTGCCCTGTAGCCCCAGATGGTTCCAGTGCCTCTGGACCTCTTTTTCTACTTTCTACGGGGAAACCTGCTCCCTCAGAGGCTGCCAGAGGGAAGAGTGAGCAAGGCATTCCTGCAGCCCAGACCAGCCAGCGGCATGTCCTGTGGCCTCTGACTCAACCTATGAGACAGAGCTCTGTTCCCAGGGCACACTTCCCAGGACACGGGGCCCAGCCTCAACCGGAGCCCTGTGAAGGGAGGGGCACCAGGATGACAATATCGGGGACCGTGGCGCTGCACACCTGGGCACTGTACTTTTCATTGGAGAATCCAGGCAAGATCTTGAAGCAGGTGCATGAGGTCCTGAGCCTGTGCAGCAAACAGCACTCATCTGGGGCTGGCACAAAGGGGTCTACAGAGCCACGGCCACTGCTGCCTCCTCCCAGCCCCATCTGTGCAGTGCAAGTGATCCACACCCGCTCCTAAGCCCAGTCCAGCAAGCAGCAGCCCGGGCCCCTCAGCCCGCCAGGCCGATGTGCTGCCCAGAGGCTTCGAGGCCCTGCCCGCTGTGCCTCCCACCACCTGGAAGCTGCCTCCTGACGCCTGCCAGCCACTGCCACAGCCGCAACAGGTGCCACGGCCAGTGCAGGCTTTCCAGACAGTGGGGGCGCCCAGCAGCCGTTGCCTCAGCAGCTCTTTGGTGGCAGCTAGGCCAACCAGGGCAGCAACTATGACTAGGATGATGCATGAGCAAACAGCTCCACACTGGTGGACAGGCTGGGTGCGCGCCCGGCCCTCAAAGGCTCGCTGGGCCTGTACCATCATTGTAAATTTGAGATCATGAGATTATACCATTTGCCTTCTTGCTTTTTGAAGTACGAGTATTTTTATGCACACTTGGTAGACCTAAAAATCCATGAAGGGTCTCAAAGAAGCTGGCTGGATGGAGCCTGCTGTGGATGCCTTTTTACTTTCATAGACCAGGGTGATTTACATTCCACCTGTAGTCTGTTTGCAAACTCTCACAGAGCAGCCTTGCAGCTTTGTGCCTTTAGAATCTTGGTTTTGCGTTTCTCCCCGCTCCCTTCTTCCAGTAAGCCGCAACTTTTCTGATTGAAAGGGTGCAAGGCTAACATACGGAATGACTAACTCAGGATCACATACTGGCAGTGGGAGGGGCGGGAGGAGCAGCTGCCATCAATTGGCACGGCCAAGTGGATGATAGGATGGATGCTGGCACATGCGGAGGAGGCAGACGCAACGCTCATCTCTGATACGATGTCTATTCCCTTAGAGGCGGCTGTAGCATCGCCTCTTCAAGCAAGTGTCTTGAAACTCAGTTTGAAGATTTCAGCAAACGTGTCTTACAGCAAGGAGAAGAGGGAGTCAGTCCATCAGGATTAAAAATATTGAGGCAGTGACAACACACACCTGGCTTCAGTTCTTAGGAAAGTTTTGGTTTTGATTTTGTTTTTTTTTTTTTTTTGGAGAAGATTTGTTTTTAATGGATCTACACTGTTAACTGAGACTCGGTTGAGATTCACTAGTTTACTTAAAAACTTCTCAGGGACGTCTGTAAATTTCAGTGTCATACATCATGAAAACAGGTGTTGGCGGATCTGTTGGTTGCAATAATTTCTACTATTTCAAATACTGAAGGCAAGCATAATTGGTTTATACTGTGTTTTAAATAAAAGTATGACTGATAAGTCCCCCAGGACATTAAACCTTAAAAATCATTTTTAAGCTCTTATTATTGTAAGAGAAATACAAATGACTAGAAAATGCCACAGAGATTCGAAAGCTGCTTAAATGAAAGAGCAGGAAGGGATTCTGACTTGCAATGCCAAACTTTCCACGTTTTTATAGTTACTGAGCTAAACCATATGGTTATTGACACTTTCTAAATCTGTCACTGAAAGGTTAAAGTATCTGCTGTTTTTATGAAGTCGAACTTAACGCTGCCTCAGAAATCCCTGGGTACCGAAATGGTCACACAGAACTAAGGAAGTCAGTTTGAAATGCCAGTGAGTCAAAATGATTAAAGAGGCCAGGCGCGGTGGCTCCCGCTTGTAATCCTAGCACTTTGGGAGGCTGAGGCAGCGGACTGCTTGAGTCCAGGAGTTTGAGACCAACCTGTGCGACATGGCAAAACCCTGTCTCTACAAAAAAAAATACAAAACAAATTTATCCAGACCTAGTGGCGCGCGCCTGTATAGTTCCAGCTAGGGGGCTGAGGTTGGGGGATGGCCTGAGCCTGGGAAGTCAGGGCTGCAGTGAGCTGAGATGGCACCACTGCACTCCAGCCTGGGCGACACAGCCAGACTGCCTCAAAAAAAAAAAAAAAAAAAGGACAT